ATTCAATTTAATTGTTTTTAAAATATAAAATAATTATTCTTCTCAAAAGATACGAAAATGTTAGTAATACTTTTCGCTCTTTACCATATTTTTATAACACTTTATAAAAATTTTATCGTGATTTAATGTTCTATTCTAATTCAAGATAGATACATGCATTACATTACATGAAGTGTTCATGCTAACAAAGTGTCTAAAAGAAGATGACAAACAAATCGTTCGTTGCTCACAACACAGTTAGCCAATTTGTATTTTTAAACTCATGTAACTTCATAGCTGGCCTCAATTATTGGACTCGAGATTTTAATCTCAGATATATTCATTGTCACTTCAATATAATTGCACTCCACTCTACGAGTTTCAGAATTTTTACATTTCTTTAATATCAAACTGAATTGAGCTCAGTTAAATTATTAATTTTAGAGCAAACTTTTGAATTTGAAATTAAATTGTAATATATTACAATAAATATAACTAATATATAATTATTATAATGAAGAAAAATTATGTTCGTATTTAAAAGATATAAGATTAAAAAAACTTCAAACACTTGCTAAATTCCAATATAAAATTTAGCAAAAGCAATTAAAAAATATTAAACTTTATCTAAAGTTACAATGAAAAAGTTATACTAAGCATTACTAAGCATTGAATAACGTTCACATGAACCTTGGTTCAAATGATGTTATTTGAGTTATCAGAAAGAGTTACATTGTTCTATCAAATATGAGAGTGTCGTTTATTTCTTTGAAATCTCAGCAATTTTTAATTCTAACGTAGGCTTTAAGCACTTCGAAATCATTTATATATGCGTATATGGCTAATGCCAAGGACAAACTAAAATCTAAAGATATGAATTATTAAAATGCAGTATAGTCGACATAATAGCACATGTGTTTAGAGCAGTGTATATAAATTTTTGTGCAACGAAGACACGACAGAAGTGAATGAAATATGTATAAATGACCAAGGTCAATCGATAAAATGGAATTTATTTTTTGATCGTGTATATTCGCCATAATAAAAGTTTAGTTTTAATAATTATGAATCGATTTTGAATTTTGAAAGGAATATCGTAGAGTACAATTAAAATTTATGACATGCAAAAAAATATTAAAAAATAATTTTATATATATATGTAATTAAGATTGACAAATGAATTAAAAATAAAGAAACGCTAAAAATAAAAAAGCATAAATGATAAAACAACACAACTTGTTGAAATTAAATAGGAAATTAAATGCACAGTAAATGAAATATGAATATACAATGTTGAAACATTAAAATCGACTCGAGGAGATCCGGAAATGTCTTCTAGAGAGTTCAAAGACCTTTTGAAACAGAAATAATTGCACTTTAAATTAGCGTTGGAAAGCAGTCCAAGATTGCATTAATTGTGATTAATAGTGGACACTCGTTAAGTAATAAAATTGTACGTATTTACTATTCAGTGAATTTTGTACTACTAAACACTAATCCGAGAATACTAAGGAAACCTATTACTATTACTATATCTAATAAGAATAAAATGACAAATTCTTAAATAGAACATATACAGAAAATCATTACGTCTATTATAGCTGAAGGAAACTTCGCTAAACTTTATTAAATCAATATCATTCGATATTTAAATTTATCCTCAACACTTTCATTGATATTTTCTTGTTCAAACATAGTTGTTTCTCTTTAAGTAAAGATATCCTTCATCCAATTATACGAAGGAAAGCGGTAATTTTCATTCACCGTAAAATTGTAAAAGTGTTAAATATCACAAGTGCGAAGAAAAGAAGATAACACGAATCGATATCGGCAATCTCTATAGTTAATCACGATCAATTATGTCCATGCGATATTAGCAACGTCGTCATTTGTGCAAACAAACCACATCTGTTCTTAAAAGAAGGGGAAACATGGTACTCGAAATGATATCTTGAGTTAAATTTAACTTTATAGAATTACGTAAAAAATAAAAAAAAATTGAAATTTAAAATATCTATTATTTATAATGTAACAAAAAAAAAAATAGAAATCTCTATAATATTATAAAATATTATTATCAAAAATTAATCGTTAATAATTATTAATGATAATTTACTTAAAGAACATTAAAAAAAAAACATTTTTAAACTTTGCCACCGCTTTAAAAAGAAAGCGAAAAAAGGAATACCGTAATAACAAAATTTGCAAAAATTCCTTCTTAATTAATTATTATTATATTAATTATGCTAACTAATTACAGCGTCTTAGGGATTATTTAAAAACTCAACGCGCGATTAAGCAAGAGATATCAGGGTGTAAGTATATACGAGTGTGTCGCGAGGAATCGATCAAAGAGAAACATCGCCGGCAGACAGGCGTGCATTCCGGTTCTGTAATTGTATGCATACGTTCATACATGCACGCAAATGAACACGAACGACGCGTTCCTTGCACGCAGGGCCCCGATCGGGAGACCGCCAACTATCAATTTCCGTTTTGAATTACCAAACGCCATAACGCATGCACGCGCCGCTCAAACGAATCTCCGGTCTTCTCTGGCATAACAAGCCTCCTACTAAGAAACGCATCGATGCACTTTTCTTTGCTAATAAGACACCTCCTTCTTCCTTTTGTTCATAAATTTTAGACCAATAATAAATCAGTTACAATCATTCCAAAACTTTTTAACGTTCGCCAATTCTTGAAATCTGTAAGCAGATAGACTTATCTTAAAGTAGATAAACTTATTTTACAAAGCTTTGATATAATAATAATTTATTTAAATGTTTTGAGAAATTTAAAAGTCATGGAATTTAGAGATTTAACTGATATTAAATTATATTATGATTAAATTATTTTCGCGATTTAAAGATTATAATTGTTTATGTTGTATTATTAACCAATATTCCGAATGATTTGTGAACTTGTTGAAAATAGCATGTCACTGATTGATTGTAATGATAATACAATTTATTTTCAAGAAACCTAATAATTCAATGTTAACAGATCAATAAGAAAAAAAAAAAAGAAAATAAATATAATAAAATATAGTTATAAATTATTTTTATGTACTTTATTTAATACGATAAATTATTTATTAAATTAATATATGTGATATTTTACATGGAAATTAATATAAAAATAAAAGTGAAAAATTAAAAAATTAGAATGAAGAATTTGAGAATCACTGGGCATCCCTGGCCTTACGTAATCATGCTGCACCCACTCGTTTTACTATACTATGGTCTGACCGTAATCTGTCAATTTACTTTTGACAGTATTCCCGCAACGGAAATCCGATGCAACGCACCTTGCGATTTACATATTCGATATATTTTCTAATCATTAAATTCATTTATCAAGGTAATAAAAATGGAAGATTGCGTAATGATTAATCAGAAATGAGATTATACCGCTTTGGAATCTTTTCTGAAAACGTTTGACGGAAATTGAATCGATCGATTTACATTTATACAATTCGAATCATTATACTAATCATTATACTAAATCAATTCAAAGATATATATATAAAAATAATATATATATATATATATATATATTGTAAAAACTTTTCTATTTATTTATTTTGTACTTATAAGTAAAAAATAATATTTACATTTTTTTCAAATTTATTGATTAAACAGTTAATAATATTTAAGAAATAATATGTTAATTCTCAATATAAAATTAAAATCAATTTCTCTTTTTCTTGTTTTAATATAAAAACTAAAAAGATGTAATATAGTAAATTATAATATAGTAATATTGAAGTCCATAAAATCGATAATGTGACTAAATATTACTATTGAAAATTTGATTTAAATCCATGAAATATTTTAAGCTATTAATATATACTTTAAATAATTTAAATATATAAAACTTAAATTTCAATTCTATTATAAATTATTCTTTATTGTTTAAAAAAATACTTAGTTCTGAAATATAAGAATTGAATCTCGTATTTTTTGCGAGTCTCTTTGATTAAAAACGCTTAGTTATGAATTATATGATATTATTCACAAAATATTAATAACAAAGGTTAATAATTTCATTGGAATATATGGTCACACGATGCCATTACGTCATTCACTTGTAAAAATTATATATTCACATTTCTGTTAATTTCTTGAATATTTTACCGAAATTATTATACAATTATTTTGATAGTTTAAATTCAAGATAATTTTCTTTGTATTGGGAAACGAATCATCCGCCATTTCAATGAATCGAAGGTACCACGATAAAAATATTCAAATTATTTGTATTTTCAATTTTAGATTACTAATGTTTAATAATATATCTAACCAATATTATTGAAAATAACTATATTGTAAAGACTAATTTACAGTTTAAATTATGAATAATCTATTTGATTACACCATTGGTATACCCGATCGATCTTTGCCTAACCTAAAAACCGGTTGGCACAAGATAATGTATAATAGCTTCAGAGATAATCGAAGATCATTTGCATGATGAATCATTATCTAAATTCGCAACATGTTAAGTCAAAATTTTTATAGTTTTGCTAAATTAAAACAAACGCATCGTGAAAACAAATTAAGCCGATTCCTAACGGTCACAGTTGATCGTTCAACTGTTTATTGATATCGTCTCTTCAAAATATTTCTCGTTTGATCATATCTTTCGTAAGTATCCTTCATAATATAATATAATCAAATAATATTCAAACAATCACAGAAAATAATCACAATATATTACATATCCGATAAATTTTGATTTTCTGTTCACATCGGTATAATATTCATAGCATATTTAGAGAACAAGATCTTATGTTCTATATAATAAAGTGAAAAAACATATTGCTTACCTTTGGCAGACAAAAGAAAATTGAAGTGTTCTGAGTTATTCCTCGAGGCACGTCGTACGCGAACACGAGTCGGAAACGAAGTGGCGCGGAATCAACTCGCCTCGCGACAGCCGAGAACCTCTCCTCTCTGCTTCGGCCAATCACATCCCTCCTTTGTACATATCCCCTCTTCACTCCTCAATCCTCTCCCAGGGACGGTTCGCGGTCCAGCCACGTTCCTCTGTTCCGTTGTTTCTACGAGGGTTTCTTGGTTGCTACCTCGACTTTTTTCGTCCTAATTATTATTCTCCGTCACATTCTTACAGAAAGAATAAAAGATAATCGAATATACAGTAAGTTTTAGAAATCTTGATAAATTATGATTATGAATTTTGATAAAGCGTTTATACTTAGATTTACGATGAATATTTGAAGCTTGTAAAAATCATTAGAATAACTAACGAAAATGATTGAAATTATTGTTTTACAGGAACACTTAAAAACAATTTTTTGAAGATAATTAAGAATGGATATAGAAACTATTTCCTCTACATCATTCGTCAATTTCGAGATAGTAATTGTTGATGAAAATTATCGATACTACGATCGATGGAATCGAAAATAAGCTAAGTTCAGCTTGGACTACACGAAGAGTTGAATATTTCTAAAAGTTTGATAAACTTTATATAAAATACACGAAAAAATAGATTTTTCGATTTTAATTGGATAATAGAATTTTACTTTTTTCATTTATTCTTTTTTATACTACTAACATAAAACAAATTTGCTATATTTTTCAATAGACGATGCAGCACAATGTGCACAATCGATAATCGATCTAGTTTAATTATACGATCAGTATGTCGAAGTCAATGGCCTCGAAACAAAGAACCGACACAAAAAGAAGATAACTATTCAATTGTTATCCACCTTGAAAGGTATAACAGAATCTTTTTAATGCTTTTTTTCGATAAAAATCAAACACAGCTCATATTCTAATTCAATTATGGCTCATTTAGCAAGAAAGAATAACTATATTAATTAAGATCTATTATCACTGTAAAGGAATAAAAAAAAAAAAAAGATAGGAAATAACTGATGTCAGAAAAATAATTGCAAATAAGAATTATTTTTAATTATGTTATATTTCAGATAAAAATTCATTATACTTCGAAAATTATATTTATTATATTATTACTATATTATATTTCGAAAGAAAGAAAAAGAAATTGTTCCAAGCCAAACTATTCCAGTTTAACAATCAAACAGCGCAACATCCTCTTACAGAAGACAAGGTCTGCTCTCAATTTTATGAATCATAGTACTAAGCATAGTCAAGTCGTTTTTCCACTATTCGTATAAAAACGAACAGGTTCAATGATCTGAAAAATCACTTTTAGAAGGAATTTCTATATAATCGAATCATAATGATATGGCTATGTTATCTATACTCTTTACTTTTTATTCGATGTTTTACCTTTAATCAATCTCTATACAAATGTAACGGTCTATAAATAACGGATGCCATATTCTCACCTGAGCTTCTTCAGCCGATTATGACGTCGTGTTTGTTGACCGTGACACAATACGCCTGTAAAAACATGTAATCTTCTTTTGGTGTCTGCCTCTGTTTAATTCTGCTGTCTCCCTACATTTTCTGAGACCATAAAAATGATGTCACTTTTAACATCCTCCTTAATACTTGAAAATTACTTTATAAAAATATTAGTCTTCAAATAATCTTTCATTAATACATTCTGCATTATTATTATAATAATTAGTAATCGTATATATTTCAAATTTCATAAAATAGCTTATTGTGTGTTATAACTTTTTTAAATTCGAAACAAGTAAACTTTTATACAAAGTTTAATTTTATATAAATCACATTACATACAGAATATAAATATAATAATTTTTAAATATAAAATTTATCCGATTCAGAGATTTACATTTGTAAAATATTCTTTGTGCTGAACTTTTAGAATATTTTACAGTTAGTCAGCCAGTCCGTTTCCGTATTGTTCCCTGAATTCCCTAGAATATATAGATCACTGAACGTTTCCGGAGAACGGTGAAACTCCGGGAGTGTCGCCTGGTCGTTACGAAATCAGCTGTGCGCCTGTCGGTGCTTGTTGTAGGTCGCGTTCAGGACTCCCCTCGACTTCCCTCGTTGCTCTATTCCTCTCGTTTCATCCAACAGGCTAGGAGTTAGAAGAGAGGGGATATTAAAGGTCGCCGCAACGTGGAGATCAATACGAAACCTACATACCTACCTTCCCTATCGAGCCAATGGGAATGTCTAAAATGATCCTTCTCCTTAAATCTATCAAATTTTTCTCCTTCTAAGGTAAACCGATTCATCATAATTTTCTAATCTATGAAATCCAATGTAATTATGATCCTTGGCAAATTTATTAACTAACTTTCTTCCTTTTAAATTGCTAATTATGTTAAAATTACCTTTTACAATGTTTAATATTTTTGTAGGTTTCAGATATTCAGATACAATGGACTAGCATGAATCAATTGAATACCTATAGATTTTTAATAGGTAATAATTTAATAAGAGATGTTTATAAAGATGTTTATTCGAATAAATCTAAGTGTTTAACATAATAATCACATTTTGGAAGATTTAGTGTGATGCACAATCTCTCTTTTTCTTTGCTAATGTAAGAATACAAGATCTTTTAAGTCTTTCTTTTTAATTACATGTTTTAAAATTATTAAATTATATATGATTTTCAGTTATAAATTCCTCTTAAGAATATAAATATTCAATAGAAATACAATTAATATTTATTAAATGAGATTCTTTGTTTTCTATTGAAGATAAACTTGGAAAACATTTTTAACGTTTTTTTAAAATTACACATATAATTTTTACTAATTTGATTATTTTTTATGTTAGTAAACCAATCAACTGTTATCAGTTTTATAAGAATTAAATATACTATATATACATATATATATATAATTTACCTTTTGACATTAATTAGAATTAGATAATTAGAATTAAAGGATATATTTTTAAATAAGTTTCACTTCTTCTTCTGATTTCACTTTCCAGTCAATGTCAGTCAGTGGTGGCCAGCATGGAAACTTATTATCCGTAATCGATACGTCTGAAAATCGATCGGTTTCAAGGAACGATTATTGTGTTCGAGGAAGAGGAACGTATACGTATAATTAGCAACAACGGCTTCAACGAGAAAGTTACCGATTGAAATTGAAAGAAAAAATGAAGACAACTTTGCATTGGGATTATTATTAAAAAATATTCTAAAAATTCTATCCCACCAATATAACACATTATCATCATTAGAAGAATTATGTAATGCTTTGAGTTGGCCGGTCTGGCTGAGTTGATGAGGAAAGTTGCGTCAATGGCCGGGAGGAAATTACTTTTCCTCGTCCGTTATTTTTATCCTGAGAAGTGTTTTATGCCGTTTCCACAGTTATGGTTTAACTGTGAACCTGTCTTTTTTTCGCTTAACTCTTACGGATAGTTCGTTTTAATCAAAATTAAAATATATAATTGTATATTGTAAATGGGATTTTTTTAAAATTAATATTTATCATTTTATTGATTATTAACTGAATTATCTAAGAAAATTAAACACCTGATAAAAGTTAAAATTGATAATCAGTAAAAATTGATATTGGATAGATAGATATATATATATATATATATATAGTTTTATTCGTGTGAGTAATAAAGATTAGAAATCAAGATTTTGTTTTTCGTGTTTATCTGTTCACCTTCAACAAATTCAACAGTACGATAATAATTATAACGCGATACTGAAAAAAAAATATTTTAGAAATGAATTTCAATATTTAACATTAACATTAAAAATTATTGAGATGAAAATATTAATGAAATACTATTATTGAAAAGAAAATATATAATGTATAAAAATATATAAAGTAAAAAATTATATAAAGTATTAATATAGTTTTTATTAATACTAGTATTCGTATTTTCAAAATTTGAGTAAGAAACAGAAATACGCACGATACAATAGGATACAAAATAAAATAAGAGCAAAAAATTGAAAAAAATAAGGCCAATAAATTAACAAAGAAATAAGAGGTAATATTATTTAAGGAAGCCACTGTTGACCTTGAAATTTATAAAATGACCTTGATACTTATAAAATATCCCTAACAAAAATACTTTTCTGATCTAATCGTATTATTGCATTACAAACTATAACTGTAAATATTATGTTACAAGTCTCAATTACGTAAATTATTAATATCCACATTGTATATATGTTATACGATTCTTTCAATGTGCACTTGGAACTTGATATTCTAGTTTCATTTTCTAAACGTTCTACGCTATAATTACAATACAAATATCTATATCCATTATCTTACCAATATATAATATGTAATATATATTCGTATTATTTTTCTTAAATGAAATCGCACGTATATAAAGACGGTAAAAAATTATTACTTGGATCGCAGTCATAGAAATCCGGCATTAAATACCACAATAACCACGTTAAATGTGCTGTCTCGAGAGGCTAGCAATTTATCGCGTGACTGGCACCGAGTATGACGAATATTTTTCGTCCAGTTTTTCAATGTTTGACAACAGCAACTATTTTTGTAACGAACAATTGCTTTCGTAAGAAATGGAAGAATGAAAAATGAGGAAATAGAATGGAAAACAAAACTATAAATCTTTGTCTTATGAAGCTACTGAATACTCATTGAAAATACTGGTTTTTGATGCCATTGACTAAGGGCAGTTCTCAATGTCAATGTCTCAGAATCGATCGAGCACCACTGCTTGTTCCGTAATTTCGACACGTACGCCGCGAACAGATCAGCTACCGCTGATGGCCACCTTGCTTGTTTATTACATAATGTTGGCCGACAATTTTGCCATGCCAGATATACTTGTTTTCTGTAGAAACGGCCGGTCGCGCCAAGATTATTCGCTGGCACCTCGAACGAGGAAAACATCAGCCAGGCCGCTTCCTTATCGATTTTTCGCCGCGATCTTTTATCGTTTTCGCTGAATTAATATTAATGCTTCGACAGTGTATGTCCTATAAATATTCCTATTTGGAGATAGTTAACGTTCTCCTTAATGAGAGTTTCTGGCAATTTCGGATTCTACTCTTGTCATTTTCACTTCAGATGGGGAAGTAACACTGATATGCTAATATTGAAAATAAATAATTTTAGCGTGATTTAGTAAAAGAAATATACAGAGAATAAAAATGTTAAAATTATTCTAAAAAAATCTTTATTTTTCTTTAATACTGAAAAATAATTATTTAAATTCACGATAATATAAATCGTGGTAATGAATATTTTACATATGGGTTTGCACAACGTTAAAACAGTTGAAACTTCACATTTTAAATGAAACGAAGCCTCGTAAAAACTGTGATGATTGACGTATAAATTTTTTTTATGGTATTAAATAAGATTATTATGTAAAAATAACTAATAAATACCCTTTATATGTTTCTATTATATCATATTTTATATTAATAATTTGAGTTAGATTAGAATTTTTTAGAATTTGGAAAATGAAAGAAATAAAATGAAAATAAAAGATTCAAATGATGATCATAATTTTTAAAAAATTTTTAAAGCCATAACTTGTTTTAATCTTGGAACAAAAGATTGAAACTCGAGAATAATTTAAACAATTTTTTAAATTTTAAAATTAATTTTTGAGAAAAATACAAAAACATTTTAATTTTACTCTTAAATCTGCCTGCGACAACTTGGTGAACTCATTCGAATCAATTGATGAGGTCGAGTTGATACATAGCCAATGAAATTAGCCAGTAGGCAATTAAGCGCATCATTGAGCAAATCCTAACAAGCTTGTCACTGTTGATAGACACAAACTATAGTTGAAAGAAATTCTACTTAACGCTAATTTTTTTCATCATCAATAATAATTATATAATCGGTAATAATTATGTATCTTACGCATCTTAGATTTAATTATATTTTATAATATAATATAACTATATTAAAAAAGAATATTGAACTTAATATTATGCTTATTATATTATTTTTCACTTAAAATCCAACTAATTAAAATGAAAATGTAATACTGAAATTTAAATTTTTATCTCTCTAAAAAAATAAAATTACGTATCAACTTTTGAATTTTAAAATGTAAGACTTAAAATCAAAAAAATTTTTCTCAGTTTTCTAATTGAAAAAATATAATATTGGATTTGAATTGTTTTTAAGATTATCATTCACAACTTGCCATTGAACATCGTAAAAACATCTTTGTCAAAGCCTTCGTGAAATCATTGAACAAACCAAGTTAAATACGTACATATATTATCTTGATGAAAAGTTCACGAATAATCGACGATGCATATGTGCTCAATCCATTACTTCAAAAGACTGTATATCTCTTATGCAAAACGCAATTATCTTAGCAGTCGAGCAGGGCTTAAATTTAGCGAGGAATTTCGCTAAGTCGACGGGGCGCTAAAGCTGAAGGGCCCTGCTGGTGCTGGGACTGAAATACTCGAGGGTTAAACGACAAACTCCTCGAATTGTTTCTCTATGTACTGTTTTTTATCTCTCATTGCTGCACATACTCTGCAAATATAAATCTTCTTAACCGTATGGTATACGACATACCAATTCCACTGTAAAACTATCTTTATATTTTTTAATATCATTTCGTAGAATTACTTTTCAACTTTCTTTACTACTAAAGTAGTTTTGGAAAATCGAATGCAAATTAAATAAATGGTTCTGATATAAAATAATCTGATTTAAAATAAAATTTTGAATTTTATATAAAAATAAATAATCTAGGTTTTAACAAGATACAATACTTTTGATACGAATGCACATCTATAAATTATATAATTTATATATATATATTTAAAATAATTTTGATTGATTTATTGACAATTGTAATTTTTAAAATTTAAACGTTGTACAAAATACCAAAAATATATTTCTTTCCATTAAAAATCTAATAATGTGAAATAAATACATTCACATTCTAAATCCAAATTTATAATAAGTATAATAAAGTAATAAATAATACTAAATTAATTATTTATTTATATTAATTATGATAATTAATATTTTCCATGTACCAGTTTATATTAGATCAATAGGATAACAAGAAATCTTATAAGTATTTGGATATGGTTGCTATATTTTTATATATACCTAGTAATTGGCTTGGCATTACAATTACAACATGGATTTTCAAATCATGGATACAAGCAACTTCCAAGATAATCATCGCAATTACTTCCATTTCCAATTGTTTATATGGAAAATTTTATAATGAAAACATTTTTAACATTTATCTATTTTGATATATCTACCTAAATAAATAGAAATGATTTATCACCTATCATGGCAGATATTGAAACAAATGCTAATAAAAATTCGTTTTACATTTTCCACATTTCTTTTTCACCCGTATATAAGTATATCTCTAAAAGTGAAATTTTATATTTAGATATTTTATCCTATTAAAAATACATGTTTATCTAGTCGCGAGAAGAAAGATATTTATTCAGCTGTTATAAAAGGGAGTTACCTCGATATATATTGGGGATCACTGGTTTAGAGCATTTATGTCGCAAGGGATATCATCTCTTAAGACATCGCTCCCTCGCTGCAGCACGCTGGCCGTGAAATCGACTACGTCGACCATTCTAAAATCGTGCCAGAATTTCTTGCCAATTGGAGCTTCATCCTGTCTACCTGCGCAAACTACTATCCCGTGGATTTTTCTTTCTTTCCCTTCGCTAACAGAATTTTGATACAGGAGAATGAGACGAAACATTGACTCCTTGAGAATCAGCCAACGAACATAATATCGCAAGGTTTTATTTCTGCAATTAAGGCTTGCCTCGTCGTCACAATTGCGGCGTTTCAAAATCTTACGATTAATCTTTTTATTATTCGTTTAAAGAGGATTGAACAAAAGTGAAAAGTTTAGATTAATCTAACAATGATGCGTGGAAATGTTTTTACATGCTTTTTCGGATTATGCTGGTGGAACATGCGTAGAACACGGTTAACATGGAAATTAAAGAAATTAATTTTTCATAATTTTTTAATCGTCACTTATCATTTCGTATTTTTTTTTTTTTTATCTTTCGATAAGATTCGAAAGTTTAAGCAAATGTTTCCTATCTCGCGATAAAAATTCGTAATCTTTCTCTTTGATTACTTTGAAATTTTGGCAAGTTGTTTTCGAATAAAAAAATTTTTATGATTGGAAAGTGATTTCCAAAACTGTAAAATTAAATTATCTTTTAAAGAATAATTCATACTTTTTTTTTTTTTTACTTTTCTATTAAAAAATATTTATGTTACTTATTAATTACTCTTAAGTCTTCTTTAAACGAATAATTTATTTAATATTTATTAAATAATTATCTTTTCGATAATTTACCTTTTAACAATTCCACGAAAATATTAAAAAAGATATATTATTAAAATAAAATATAATATATTTCTTTGTTCTTACGTTCTTATATGAAATATGAAATATGTAAAAGTTAAGGAGTTTTATTTAAAAAAAACATTCAGAATAAAGAACGTAGTACGTGCATAATACTATTTTCGTACTAGTTAGAAAGCTTATAACAAGTTGAAACGACTTCGAAAAATCGTTAACTCGCACATGTGCATTACGTCATTGGTTCATGTAAGAACTGCTAAATGATGATGATTTGTTAGTTTATGAGCCTTTGTTATGACCATACCAATCGTCAACAGGACTGTGATATCTATCTATAATAATGTAATGAAATTTTAATCTTTTTCAAACAAGAAATTTTTTCCCAAGCAAGAGGGATTATTCAAAAGAATAATCTCTAAGAAATGAACAAATTCTTTCCGTTTCAAATATTATAAAATATTATAAAATATATCATATCATCATTTGTAAATTATTATATAATGTATCAAGACACTTTTTGTATCTTCAAGAAACACTTGATCTCATTAATGTACAAAATAACTCTTCAACTCGTTAAATCTCATTAATGTACAAAATAACTCTTCAACTTTTTAAACCAAAAAGAAACAAGATAAATAGCAGCATAAATCTAGAAGCTTATTTTTCCATCGTTTCAAATGCTTTGAAAGTTTACATTTCGCGATCGTACGTCGCTCAAAATAATCAGAAACCGCTGCTTAAAATTTTATTGCATGTTCGAAGCATTTATTCATGCATTTTATTATTTGAATCATATGATTCAATATAAACCGTAGATTATTATTAATTCCTATAAATTTTTACATTAAAAAAAAAAAAATAAAAACTATTATCAATTATTTATCTAATTTTCAGATAATTAAATCTGTATCGAAAAATTGAAATAAATTGAAATAATTAAACATTGAGAAGAAGATTGAAATATTTGCATGAAGAAATACTTGAATTTAAAGATATTATTTTTTTATGTGATTATTAAAGAAAAGTTTGTTTGCAAAATAAGCGGTTTATTTCCACATTTCAAAAGTCTATTTTCCCAGACCTGATCTGCAACGCATGCAATACTTACATGAAATCTCAATTTTTGTTCTTCGGTTTAAAATTTGCGAGATATTATAAATTTTATCACGGCCTTGAGCGTTGCTCCTTCAGCACGCCAAATCATCATGATGAGAGGGCCAGGTTTTGCGGAATCTCCGGTGTTTATAAACGTTTAATTGTCCATAGCCAACTCATTCGGCAAGCAGTTAGCTTGCCTATTACGATACACCGCATTCGAAGTACCGGGAAAACTATGCGATCTATTTTCGAGCTTGAGGATTCGCTGTTGTTGGGCGGACACGCTTCGCTACTCTTCCTCTTTCGATTCAAAGAAAGCTCGTCTTTCCCCGACTGCTTTCGTCTTTGCCACCCGCGAAAACCTTCCGATGTATTTTTAGTCGAAGCTTCAAGGTTCTGGGATAGGAACGATAAATATGTTAAATTAGAGAAAAACAGAGATTTCTATGTATGATAAACTAATTAAAATTATTATTATTTAAATTAATAATGATTTTAAGGTATGAGGTAAAATTGATAATTTAAAAAAGGAATTGTAAGTATAAATATTTATACTTTGAAGAGATACAAAATTATAATTATATTTTTACGTTTGTATTCGTGGTTTTTTTTAAAAAGCCATTTGGAAAAGAGAAAATATTTTTTTCAAAAAATAAAAGATAAGTTTTGTGCTGGTCTGTAGGATGAGTCAAAGTTTCATCTGTAGAGAATGCTTCCTTTTATTTTGTTCTATCCCTCACATTCATTAGTTGGATTTTATTTCTTTCTGTCCAACTAATTCCACAAGTGTTCAGAGATCTCACGAATAAATTTAAATTTGTCGATTTAAATATTATCATTGTTATTTATATAATACATATTTCATTTGCTGAGATATCAAAGATGTGTGTATTTGTGTGATGATAATTTATTATATCATTTGCCAAAATTAAAACTTTTCATTAAATAAAATTAATAATTATGAATTATACATTACTAATATATTATATTCTAATTCTTTCACAAAAAAATCATGATTTCAATCAATTTTTTATACTAATTAATCGATATAATTTTAATCTATATAATAACATTTTCCCAATTAATATGAATTGAATAAGTAAAAGCTTTAATACTTTAATTGTATGGATTGTTTCAAATTATTTAATTTAAGCATTAAGAATTAACCAAGACTGTTATTCAATTGAAAGCATTGCTGCATCCAATTTTGAAAATAAGTTCGATACAATCTTATGCATCGTGAAACTTCGAGAAATGTCGACAGATGTCTCTACAGATCATTTTACTGCACCAAAGTTGATAACATAGAGCTCTTCATACAACCTTATTCTTGAATAAGAAATTATTGTTGAAATAAAAACTGTAAATATACAATTAATCCATAAATTATATAAATTTTAATAATCATTAATAATTAATACTTATAATTACAATTACAATTAACATTGTATCAATAATGTTATCTTAACAAACAAAAAATATGAAGATTGAAAAATTTAATAAATTAATAAACATTTATCTATAAAAATTAAATTTTGTATCATTTTAAATGTTTACGTTTTATTGGTACTTTTAATTAATCCAACATAATGATTTTTAATAATCTTATTTTATACGATATTATAAGAATATTATTAATTCGTTAATAATACAAAATAGAGAAGAGAAAATCTTGGAGAGCAAAATTCCATGAAAATCGTTCTCTCTGTGAAATCGAATTGACAATTAAGTATTTAGGATAGCTGCGGGTCGCGTATCGAGAAGAGTCATCTTCACCAGCATGATCATACGTAAAAACATATGGTTTATATATGGGATCCAAAATAGGTACTCGAAAATGCTTGAGAATTTTACTCGACTATTGTTACTTTTGATTAATAATTTTAAGATCAATTTACCAATTATATTACTTGATAAAAAAAAATATTACTGTTATACAGAAATTATAATATTTATACTGTAAAATAATATTCATGCAAACATAAATCATGAAAGTTAGAAAAATTTTATCTAAAATTTCACAATTTCTATCGTATATATAAATTGAATTTATCGGAAAATTAAGAAAATTCTCGTTTCCCAAATCCATTGAATTTCTCATTCTATTTTATTTCGATATTGTATTCGAAACCGATTTCAGGGGAGATTAGTCACGTCATTCTTATGCCACATTTCTGGATATGGGCGCAGTTTTCCGTTCCTTTGCACCCAAAATTCTGTGTAATCAGATCTAAAAACGTCCTCGTAAATTCCCACCCGCAGTCCTGTTATATTATTGTAAGTAGATGATCTTATGCGGGATGATATTATAGGCTGCGTTTTTAGCCCCCTCTCGTAGTGTATATCAGAACCCGAATTTCTCGTTCTCACGAAATATGAGGGCATAGGTCCTCGATTAATTACTCGTCAATGTGAACTACCTTATGAACGAAGAAATGTTTGGATTCGTTTCTCGTGAGAATCTGTGTTTTCATATTTAATCGGTTCTTTTCCAAATCCATTGCTTTTGAAGAGTTTGATACAATATAATATTGATACAAAATGGAAATATAATAAATTTATATTTATTTATTAGATATCTTATTATTGCTTAAGCTCGTTTGTAGAAATATCAAAAATTGCAATGTATTTATTTTTGGATAGTTTTATTGAAATGTAATAAATCTTTTGAAAAAAAAAAAGTGCAATTAATATCTGTAGCTGTAGAAAAAGGATATTGGATTTTTTTAAACTCCCATTTTCTTATTTTATATACAAGTTATTTATGTAAAAAAAATTTATTCAAGCGATAGGTGTCATATATGTACGATTATATTAGAAAATTTTACTTATGAAATACATAATTTTATAAGTAATTTATATAAGGTAGTTTCAATACATAAATGAAGATATCATTACGAGAAACACCCTGCACGTGAATACAGAACGGGATGGTGACGGATGTGACTACGTCGGGTTAATAAGGATGCGACGTCATCGGGCTGCGATGTTACATTTTCTCCTTTGAATCACGATTTCCGAATCTAAAAGTGCAATTAAATGATAGCTTAATTTTTGTTTCCATTAAAAACAATTTAAGAAAAATCTCAACGATCATACCACAACAAATAAACTTCTATATTATTCTATAATATTACTTTACTTTGTTCCGATCAATTTTGTGATCTTATATTATTTTAAATAATTTAATAATATTCTCCAATTTATTAAATACTTCATTTTATTCTAATCAGTTTAACGACATCATTTTGTTCGAATTATCGTAATATTTATAAATTTTTATTACGTACATGTTGTAATTCTTCATTTATTTTAATTTATTATATTTTATTGTAGATATATAATACGTATTTCTGTATTTTATTATCATTAAATAATATACTATCAAATAAAAATTCGAAAATTTGATTATTAATCATACAAATTATCTAATTCTTTAATTATATATTTTTCAATCTTTAAAGATTAAATCCTTTTAAATCCTATAATTAATAATCTAATCAATTTCATACAGTATACATTTCATTCTCCTTAACTTTCAAATTCGACCCTTTAATAATATCTTCATCCCATTTATTAATAATCTAATTTAGCTCGTTCTTCACCCTTCAATTCTGAAATCTCACCCTGTTCAACCACTTAATTTAGTTATACGTAATTCTACATTCTTTGCATATCACTTTACTTTTATCATTAACTCCTATTCTTGCTTTATAATTTTTTTTAAGTAACCTTAAATCTCTTATTCATTATTACAAGAGATCGATACGAATAATCTTCCATTTTCCTCCTTTCTCTCTAACTTTTCACTTGCACCCCCTCCTTTAATCTATATATCTATTCCACAGGTGTCTCACGCGGGTCAAATACACCTGTTGCATACATTGGCCGTATCCACGTGGCCGTATCCTGAATCTGAAAAGAGGAATTCAGTTTGAATCGAATCTCAGGTAGAATCATACGTGGATTTTGAATAGAGAGTGCGTGTATATCGAAAATTTCCAAGCTCTTTGTATCGACCACCAGTATATTCCTCGAAATACGGCAAGTTTTCGTCGTTGGTCATCTTTCTACGCTTTGACGCGTGAAATGTACCAGCATGATACATAAAATGACTAATACTGATGATGCCCTAACTACTGAGGGACTGTTGCTCGCCAACGTTTCCATGAGGGTGGAAAAAAAGAAAAAAAGAAAGAAACGTTTATTGTGATCTCGATCACAATAAGAATCTCGCGACGGTTCATGTGGGCACGTTAATTCGTAAATTACGATTGTCATAATTGTCTTCTCTGACGATCATTATCCTGATATTATTGTAATTTTTATGGTTTAAGGGAAACTTGAAAAACTTGATTAAGATGGAAATTCTCTGTATGAGAATGATTTCATTTTTCTTGAATATCGATTGAAATAAATTTAAAGTGTTATAGATCTTTTCCAATTTCATTAATTTTACAAGAAAGCAAAGATTTATAATTTTATAAAATTATAAATTATTAAATAATTATTATTAAATAAAATTAATAAAACTTAGCTTCTTTAAAATTTTTAATATAAATTTTTTTCCGTAAAAAATATGAATCGATATGAAAATATCCAGGAATTCGAAGCAATTTGCGATATTTCGAAAAATTTATATTATATTATATTGTGAAAAAGGATATTGTTAAAGGAAATAGATACTCTGGTACTCGGTTACCTAAACAAGAGTTATAATTTATAATTATAATTATAATTTTTAAAATTTAAATTTGTAAGAAATAATATTTTGTTCCAAACATAATATAATACAACAATTTGAAATAAATGAATAATTTACTAAAAATATCAACCAAAACCATTCTTTCAAATAATTTTTAATTATTATAAAATCTAATTTTCGCATAAGATCATATTCAATTAAGTATTTTGAACAATTTACGTATCAAATCAGTCTCATAAAATATTATTCGACTATTCGAGTAGTTATATATTACAGACTGTACCCTGGAGGAAGTCCCGAGAATACGGCGATATCAGCGTGAAGAGAGAAACGCAAGCATGGCTGGCAAACAGAGAGCGGAGGTTCCCCGTCGTATTCGCGCAATTACGTCCAATTGAACTAATTTAGACCAATTGACGTTAACAGGCTCAATTGGTCGGCCCTGTCAGCCTGGCCACACGGCAATACTATCCGGTCGGCATACCTACGACGTAAAAAAAAAAGAGGCTCGCGTGCAAAAAGTCGCTCGGATCTCGCCCTCTCCTCTTCATCTCGTCGTTTCCTTCTGTCGTTCGATCTAAATATATTTTTTTAACGAGAGTATCTTTCCCATTGTCTATAAGTTCTTATCAACTTGTTCCATTCTCCGCATAAAAATTTATAGATGCATGTACATGGCATGGAAATATTGCGCGTCTCTTCTTTATTCTAAAAAAAAAAAAAAAATAAGGAAAAGTGAGGAAAGGAATAGAAGATTTTCAAAAAGTAAAAATTACATTATGATAATAAATTAATATTTGAAACGTTTGAAATGTATTACATTAGCTATCGTTGATTTTGAATAAATAAAATTAGATTTAAATTAAAATTAATTGATTGATTAATTTTTAGAAAAATAAGATTTAATAAAAATTGAAAAATTGAAAAAATTGGACAATCGTTGAAAAATTGATGTACGAAAAATGTAAATAATGAAATATTTATGGGGTGGAACGGTGGTAAGGTGGAAGTTACAACGTTCTCTACTATTGAAAGAGAGTACCATCGGAAGGGGAAGAGGTGGAGCCGAGGAACTCCTTCTATTCTGCTAGTGGAGGTAGTGGGAGAGGAACGTATCGTATCTACTTCGTTCTTATCTTTCCTCCAGGTTTCTTCCCCTCTCCAGTTACCAATGGAATGGTTGGTGGGAGATAATTATTCTATTTTTTTCTTCTTTTGCTATCCCCCATTTTCTATCCATCTTTTGTTTATCCAACATATTAAATCTTTTGGTTTTTTGTTGTACAGAATACATGTAACGTAGTATTCTTATTCAATGAAAATTTATTGTTATATAATAATGATGACTTCTTGATTCATTATTTTGAATCGATTTGAATGAATATCGAGTATTAAATACAATTTAATATCATAGAAAGTTTTTTATTATATATGGATTACATTGATACTTGCAAAGATTTTAATTTTATATTGTCTTGTCAAAAATGTAGGTATATAAAATATACCCATAATATATAAATGTGAGCATAAATCTGAAAAAAATTAATATATGATTTTATAATATTTATGAGTATATAATATAATAATTTTAATTAAATAAAAAAAATCTTTCATTCAAAAATTATAATTTGATCACTGATTTAATTTACATTTAATAAAATTAAATAACTTTAAACTTAAAATCCATATACGATTATTATAATTATATATATTAAGAATAGTTCTGCAATTTATACCAGAAAAACAAATCAAATTCCTTTTGAAGATAAACTATATCACTTATTCACCATATATTTCACTATATAGAATTCTCAATAAGAAAAAAATTCTTTCCATCGCACATTCTTTAAAATGTTACATTGTTTTATTCTCACGAATGACACTATAAATCGAAAATCGTATACGATTCTTTGATCTTTATTTCGAATTTGGCGCGCGGTGATCTGTCACTTTCACTCAGAGCACGTGTTTCCTGTTTCACGACCATGGTAGCGTTTCTGTTCGGCCAGGATCGGCCAACATCGTTTCCCAGACCTCGTGTGCATCAAGAATTGTCCATTTCCTTCGAGAAACTTCAACTTGCATCCAACTTTTACAAGAACTAACCTAAAAGTTGTTTCGGAACCGACTGCGGTAAAACTTGACCGTAAACACATTTCCGTGATTCAAAGATCGGATAGATACAAGACGCGAACATCATGATCGAGAAAAAGAGGTCGAAAAGAAAGTCGTACAGAGGGTCAGTGCAGGAGGCGACCCGTTACTGCAGCCTGGTACCACCGGACCTTCACTTATATCGTCTCTCGGCTAATAACGCTAGTAATGTGATATGATTAGCTTAGTTGAGTTCAGTTTAGTTCGTATTCGTTCAATTTAGTGGTTCGCCAGCAAAATCACATCGAGTTAAACCCATTTAGGCCAGTTAAGTTACCGACTTCTCGCTCTTGCGCGCTCGCCGTCATCCTCCCAGCCGGCTGCCTCCTGCATCCGCGGATATCCTGCAAGCATGCGCGCGCGCATTCACCCGCATCCACTCGTCTTCAGTTTCATTAGAGGCTAATTGGGTCAGTTAAATCTCGATACAAATAAAATTAAAGAATCTTGGAGTCTGGTACTTGCTCGATAAATTTAATTTGGTTTAAGGTTAGGTTTGAATTACTTTTAAGAATATATATTATGGCAATAAAGAACGATTCCTTACATTAATATATAAAATATCACCAAAAATTACGATAATATCATTTATCTGAAAATTGAAATAGAAGTTATATAATTATATTATTGAATAGTTTTTATTCTTTACATTATTCTATATCCACTTTTACCTTTCATATTAATCAAATTACGTGTAAAACATATTTCTGTCTGAAAAAATGAAATTTAAATTAACCATTTACAAACACTTTGTCTAATTTAAAACATTTTAAAAATAAGAAATTGCTCATTCGATACGAATAAACAAAAATGAAATATTAAATTCAATTTCTAGTTACACAATTCTTCTACAAATTCATCTCTAACCTATAATTTAACCCTAACAAAGAATCATACTTTCATCCAAATTTCTCGTAACTAAATCTTTTTAAAAGCAATCTCACCTTACCCTTCGATTAAATTGATGTTTTCTTCGTGTCATTTTCATCTATTCACTAGTTAATCGCGAGTTCGTCAATGCGATAAACAAACTCATTAGATTCGACCAAAACAAGAAGGCTAGCTGCGGGAACGGTGGCGCGATCGGTTCCAAGCGGAGAAACGGAAAAGATGCATCACAAGCTGGTGGGGGAGGAAGTAAAGAGAGTGTCCGCGAGAGTGCAATTAAATCAGCGCGTGACAGGCGCGCGCTCGTGCGCGCTAATTACTGTCGATGAAATTAGCAGTTAATATACGCGTGTACACACGGAATGGGGGTAGTTTGATTGGGCCAATTCGAGGCAATTCCTGGCGATTGCTGGTTTCATTGAGCCTGCGCTTAAGAGCTCAGTGCCACGCTGCCGGCCAACGGACATGGATCTCTTCGAAAGTATAGGAACTCTTACCTTTCTCATTCTTCCGATCGGCCATCATCTTATGAATCGATCGATGATTCCGTTCGATTTTTTATCTCGACTAGAGTGGTTACCGGAAGAGGGATAATCTTGCGGATAATTCGAACGTATGGCATATGGTTAAAATTGCGGGATGATTTGAATTCGTTGGTAGTGCATGGGACGCGATGAAATTATTGTGCATTTGGTACAGGACCTGTGACGCGATGAATGCACGTCGATCATCACTGAGAGCGCTGTGTGATCTCTCGAATCGTTTAATCGAGGTTCAAGGTTTCGGTTCAAGGACTTCTGCGAACGGACAGATATGAAACGGATAGCTAATACGGATATGTTTGATGTGATTGAGGTTAGAATGAAAATAACGTGGAATTTGTGGAAGTTGAACAGATTGATTGACAAATTGATAGTGTGTGATATTCAAGATGAATTGAACGGATTATGAGATTATTATAAAGCGCAAAATTAAATTTCTAGTAGAAGTTCAGGTAAAGTATCAATTGCGTTTGAATATTTGAAATTCGATTTGAATATTTTGGGATTGCTTTTTCTTTTTTTTTTTTTTTAATTGAAGAAGTGCAAAGTGTAATGTTATTATATTACAATTATTAATAATATATATTAATCATTGATTATGAATTATATCTATAATTATTCGTTCTTTATTTTAATTAATTATGGATAAACTATAACCATAATCTATAACCATAGCGATAAAACTTGAAATGTAGATTCTGCATAATAATCTTAAGTAATAAATACGGTCTAAATAATTCGACTCGACTGTAGAAATTATTACTGTAAATAACGTCATGTTCCAGAAATACATATCGCATGAACTAATCCAGTTTTCTGCGTGAAATTGTGACACATTCTGTGACAAATTTAAATTCCATTATATTTTACATTATTATTTCACATTGTTTAAATTACAAAAATTCTCATAAAAACTATTTTTTCAGAGACAGTTTAATTTTTTACGAAAGATTACATTATTATTATAATAAATAAGACAATAAATGTCACAATCCAAGTATTTAAATACTTCAGAACTGTATTACGTTAGTTTTTATCTAAAATCTGAATTTTAAAAAATATTATAAAGAACAATATGATTATTTAACAAAGCATTAATTAATACGATAAATTATTATTAAAATTCTAAAATCATCATTAATTTTTATTTAATATCGTTAGATTATAAATATGAGTGCGTAAAAATTCCAATCGTCGACAACGTTTTATCACGTAAAAATATATATAAATATAAAAACGCAAATTAAAATTAAAATTTAAAAATTTTAACTTATCATATATTAAAATTCTCCCGAAACCACGTTTCTGTCCTCTAAGGCAGCGATCAAGAGTCCATTATTCCCTCCGCCATGATCCCCGTTCCAAGAAATATCGGGGTCGCGTTAGGTCAAGCGCAAGGGGTCCATAGTCGAAGTGGAAGCCTCCGATGCACAATTTCCCATCACCACGTCTCCCGATCGTGCACAACCCAACCCGCTCCAATTCCCACATACCCCTCCATACTCGTTAAAAACGTTATCTAAAGCACACTACGGGCTGAGGCGGTGTTCTCCAACCATCGGGGGCGGTCGCAATGATGCGGTTGTGGCATAGCCACGAGACCAACCCGACAGAGACATCAACGGAGAAGATCAATGAACACTTCTCTCTGTCTTTCTCTCTATACACGTACATACATACACACACACACACACATATATATATATATACACCCGATGCAACGAAGAATCACGAAGTGGTTCGGTACAGACATAGGCAGAGAAAAGATAAAGAAAAGAAAGAAAAAGAAAGGAAGAAGTAAAAGAAGAGTAGGAGAAGGGGGGTGGAGAGCAAATACTCTCTTTCTTTCTCTCTCTCTCTCTCTGTGCAAAGAGATGAAAAACAGAGACGAAGAGATGAATCTTGTGCGGAATGAAAAGGGAGAAAAAGAGAAAGAAAGAGGAAGAAAAACAGGAGGCACAGCATACCGCGCCCGCATAAAACGGCTGTCCTCTCATGGAGCACGTATGGCATGGTAGGTGCTACAGGATTGGTTGGCTTCCATGTGTGGGGGCGGCCTGACCGGCAACCCGTTGAAAATATAAGCGTGTGTGAGTGTCGGTTGATTAGCCAGAGTCAGAACGGATCGTCGCTTAGTGCGACAGTGTCTGGTTAGTTAAGCGGCTCAACTTGTTGTTTCGCGCGATCAACCTCACCCGTTTGTCGATACATAAGAAAATTGGGGAAACCCGCGACGATTAATATAGAAAGAGATTCTTTCAATTCCTCCCGGATTAATCTTCTTCTTCTTCTTTTTTTTTTTTATTATTCTTTCTTTTTTTTTTTTTATTCAACAACGTTTCTCAATACAATCTCTTTGAAAAGAGATTCCTCCAAAGTATTCGGTTTCGCTGTTACAATCTGTTCATGTGTCGACGACACAATGCTGGCTCGAGCTTCGTTAGCTCGAACTAATCAAAATTAATCATAACCCGGGCAACAATTGATCGCAATTGGCTTGGATTCCATTACGGAGGACGCGCGAACCGCCATCCTGCGCGCGCCTTTTTGCATAATTGGCCAGCCGGATTGTTGGAGGTCTTGACGAAGAAGAAACCGAGGGAATCGGTAGCAATAAAGAGAGTAGGAAGTGAATGGAAATTGTCACCGTTGATCTACGTAATTTATTGCAATCGGAATAACGGACGATGCGAGAATAAGAAATGAATTTAGTTCGGAGGTTAAAAGAAAGGAATATTTCTTATTAGTAATAAGGAGATAATATTTTTTTCTCGGGCTCTTTAAATTTTAAAATTTTAAAAGAAGGAAGAAACAATTGAAGAAATATCGAAAGAGAAGGAATATGTGATCAAGAAAAAGAAGAAAAGTTTGTGCGTATTCGCTGTGATTCGAGAAACGAAAATTGTTGAAGCTGTTGAAGAAGAAAAAGAAAAAAAAAAAAAAGAAATACGAATATATATTGAAGATCGAAAGTTAAAAAAGTTATTATGTATTTATTAACACGAAGAAAATCTACTTACTTGATTCTGGTGAAACCATGTGCCTATTAAAATTCTAAAAATAGAAGAAATTTATTGCCTTTTAATATCGGAAGAATAATCTATTAAAATTATTTTTTATATAAATTAAAAAATTCTTAGAAGAGAAATCAATCTTCGAACTCTAAAAGGATATTTCAATTAATGAAAAATGGACGGAGGTCCTTTCGATGATCCGATCTTCTCTGATTTCGGCGGTCGAGGAGGTTCCGGGGTTCACAGTATTCAAGTGATGCTCGGTCTTCATGGTGGACACCACGGTGGCGATTTAATGCCGACCGGAGGCCATCTTCACAAATTAGATTCTTCGAATAGTCCACCGCCTCATCATCAAACGTCTCATCATCATTTGCAACAACAACAGCAACAACAGAAAGAGCTGAAAGAATTGGAATTGGCTGGAATGTATGCTCCTCTTCCTCAGACGCAGGATGTTACTACTTCGACGTCTACCACTGCGACCCCGACCTCAACGACATTGCAACAGGGCCTTCAGCTTGGAAACGCTTTGAAAAGGAAGCCGGAGGATCCAATGAATACTCTTGCTCCAGGTTAGTATTATACACTAAAAAAAAGTTTTGTAAAATTAGTAATATTACTCATATTGATTAAAAATAATAGCAATTATCAATATCAATTTGTAAAAATAATAAATGCAAATATATTGATATATTATTGCTGTATATGAAGATAAATAAGATATAAATTAATTTTTAATTAATTATACATTTTAGCAATTACGCATTTCTTTATCTATAATGATATATGTTTTGATATATATTTGTTGAAATATATTATAAGCATACATTTATGTTTATTAAGATTTAATTTTATTCACAATCGTTTTTATTTTAATTGATTAATATTTTGTGTATAAAAAAAATTTATATTTAGAATATTATATTATATTATATTTATTAAATAATATTATACTATTTAATTATTTTAATTTTGTTTCTGTATAGATGATTATTTAATTGTTTTTGACAGAGTTTTCTTTAAATTATTAAATTTCTACAAGATGTTTTGCAAATGTTATTTTTTAACTTTGTTTTCAATCTAATATATTTTTACAGTTAGTAACGAACCACAACCAGCCAAGAAAGATTCCAAGAAAAAAACCGACAACAATGGAATCAAAAAGAAGAAAACTAGGTATTTATTCTTTTTTATTTTCTTTTTAATTAATTTAAATAGTATTATTTAATCCACTTAAAATTAAGTTTCTAATCTTTATTTTGATCATTATCTTTTGTAATTTCAATTATTAGAAAATGATTATTGTTATTATGCCACAAATTTTAGATTCTTCAATATTAATCATATTCTATTGGACAATTAATTTGAAGTTTCAATTGTTATATACTTTCTCGTTTGTCAAATATTTCATTTTCATTTTGAAAACTATATATTTCAGAACAACATTTACCGCTTATCAATTGGAAGAATTAGAAAGAGCATTCGAACGTGCACCGTATCCTGATGTTTTTGCACGAGAAGAACTCGCTTTAAAACTCGCGTTATCAGAGTCAAGAGTTCAAGTATGGTTTCAAAACCGGCGTGCAAAATGGCGAAAGAGGGAACCTCCGCGTAAAACCGCTGGTTATGGTATGGCTGCTGGTTCAGCAAGTCCTGGTTTATCAGGTAAAAATTACAATAAAAATGCTAACTTAAAACTTACTTACATGGCTTATCATTATTTCTTTACTTTTAATATCACAATTCTTTTTTTCATTTTTAAAATAACATTCAAAATAACACATTCAATTTAATTGATTTCTGATTAAATGTTGAAAAATCACGTATATATTTCAAGCAGATATTACAAAAGATTTTTATTATTAAAATTGATTATAAAAATTATATTATATATTGTTCAATATCCTGTAATTACTTTCAAAAATATTCGTAAAATTACTTTTATTTTTACAAATCTAATAATTCGTTCTCATATTTCTATTAGGATCATTTACTTCACTGAACAATACTCTTAATCCATTCGCCTCGCCGACAACAGCGACAGCACCACCTGATGCCTGGGCATATTCACCAGCTTACGATTTGGCACCGCATCTAAATCTACTTAGCCCGTCTAACTCTCCGTATTCAACCTCCTTTGGTGGGCCAAGCAACAACGGATCGGCGTACTCGTACGCGACAATGCTTCCACAACACGATGCCTCGTTATTTTCCACACCATCAGGCAATACAATGCGCGTACACCAGGACTACATGAATGCTAGTAACAGTCCACCACCGCCTTTAACTCGTAACGACTATCAGACTATGGTAACTACCCACTCACCACCCACTCATCTGGCCAATTCCATGTCCGAGGAAGAACATCAACAGAATAAGCAATTGGATTATGTCAGTGGTCTTAGTCCAGCGGATAAATATCAGCATGAACAACCTGATTACACTCAACAACAACAACAGCAACAACAACAACAACAACAACAAGATCAAAAACAAGAATATGGAATGCACTCACCACAAGGACGTCAAGGAATGAAAGAGCAAGTGATGGTGAAGAGCGAACCAACTAGTCAAAATTACGTGCAATTGCCTCCTTTTCTGAACTGACTCGAAACCTCCGGTCTAGATTTGCTCTAGAACAACTGGTGGTTCCGATTTGGAATAAATCTTCCTTGGCAAAGGAATATTAAATTCATGATAAGATCGTATGAATGTATATAAACTGTGCTTGTTGATTTTCCATTTTTAAATTACTTTTATTTGAGCTGAAATGAAAATAAAATCGAAGGTTTTATTTTAATTAGAATTATAATTTTTTATATATAATTCTAAAAATAAAAAGAAATTTCTTGAAAGTTATTTTTATTTATAAATTTTATTTGTATTAATCGTAAATATATCGATTCTTTTTAATTTCATATTGTATCATGTAGATTTAGAAACAATAAGATTAATTGGAATTATTTTCTTGGAAAGTTTAATGCTAAGAATATGATAATCATTAATTTGTTTCAATAAGAAAATAAAAAAAAAACACGATATCACGATATATACGATTATAATAAATGAATGTATAAAAAGAAAGAAAATATTTTAAGAAATTAATTAAATAAGAGCATTCCAGTGCCTTAAAAATATAGGTTTGAGGTATAAGTACTTTTGTATTATTTGCCTTTTTTTCAAAATTATTAAGCAAAATTGAGTAAGAAGTTTATTTACATATTTTATAATGTATACCAAATATATGCATATCTGTATATACATGTATATAAAAAAAATATAAAACATTATCTGAATTTATAAAGTTTTATACAAGAATATTTCATAAATTTTATATTCTATTTTTCTTTTTGTAATGCTTAAAAATAATTGCATCTAAATGCACTTAAAAATTAAAATATGTAATCAATCATTTAACAATGATGTGTCTTAAATAAATAACAATTTATTATAATTTCATGTATTAATTTGTTTATTTACATATTGGAATTGTATGTGAATATAATTTTTAATAAATACTCAAAATAGAAATACTTAAAATATTATAA